GAGAAACAAATAGAAATCGAGTGATATCTTTAAGTAAGCGCACCCAAATAATTATATAGGGCCTACATTTATGAACGGTGTGAATTCAAGTTTTTGCTCGAATGGTTTCAGATTGAGTCAGAATTCAGTCACTATACGTTTAGATTCAATTTATATTTTTATTATAATCATGCTAAATCGTTTGTTTATTACATTTGTGTTCGGTGTTGTGCGCAGATACTCTTGTTTGCCTTGGACGATGCGTACTGAAATTATGTGCGGGCCCATATGATCGAATTTCCAGTGTTTTCGTTGCTTTATGGATTTTGGGCGCACGTTACAAATAATATTTATATATTTTAGCAAACATATTAAACGATTGAACGCAAAAATCTATTAATAAATTAAACGATACACACACACTCTCATGTGATCCGATCACATAATATCGTATGTCCTGTTGATATTGTATGTAATTCGATATGGGTAAAGATGTTATAAGCCCATGTTAATGGTAAATAATTTCGCGATAACGTCTCATAATGTCGCGTCCCCGTATAATATTATAATATTACAACTCTGTTCGGTGACGATTGTGATATTACAGTCTGGATGTCAAGTCTTCGGGACACTAACTGGAACACAGTTTCGGTAATAATAATCAACGAAATGTGCAGAATCGAGCCATTGAACGGTTTTCTAATTCATAACGCGCCACCCGTGCACTCTGCACGATGTCGATTCAATGTATTTGCGTATTATTTCGTTGATCACAATGATTTCGATGAACAAACGCGGATTTCAAACGAAAGACGACATCAAATTAAATGAACATCCGTGTGTGGATATGTGAGAAAGAGATAGAGTTCGTATGTGTGTTTTTCAACAATGATTTTTAAAAACGTTTTAAGAGTATTTTAAGCATTATAACATTATTTGTGTTATAATAGCCAGTGTAGAGATTAATTTAAATAAAAGTAACTATCAGAATTTGCTGGTGATAAAATAAATGATACGAGTTCCACAAGTAGCAGAAAAAGTGAATAACACTAGCTACGCAAAGAATGGTCCATTTCAATTTAGTATTTCTTGAAATTTAAATAGTTTAAAAATTAAAATGATTATAACATCATTAAAATGTATAAAATATATAAAATTATTACACATTAAACTGAAATATGGTATGAGTGGTTGAATACCATGAATCATTCAATATCGGTTTCCTAGGATACAACGAAAACAAATGCAAGTTTAAAATACATATAATCAATGATTGTGTGTACAATTAATAATAGAACTAATCATGTCATTGAAGGGGTCGGTAAAAAGTTGTCACCATATTTGGTACGTCGTAATAACCGATGACAACTACGGGATATCGAGACTAATGTAAAATATCGGAATCCTATGAATGTTAGTCGTAAATTGATAGATATATAAAGGAAAATAGTGCATCATATACGATTTCTGATACATTATATATTTTATAACCTATTACGCCTATTACACCTATTACCTTATTATTATATTATAAATATAATGTAATCTTACTGGATTCTTCAGTCTTGAATTTTAAAATTTGTAAGTCATCCGCTGGAATTAAACCGGTTCTAGTGTAGAAAACAGTGGGTGTTCAGCAGTTGCCTTCAGTGGCTGTTGTGTATATTCAACTTATATATATATTATACATATACCAATTCCTTTAACCAAAATCTATGATTTATGCTGACGTGCCCTTTGTCCATGTACACGTCACTCCACTGAAAACTGAATAAAGTGATTTATTATTTTATTTATCATTTATTTATTTAAGTATTTTTTTTTAATTTTCATAATTTAATGCTTATAAAATAGTCACATCCTCAATTGATATAGTGCCATATTTTACGCCAGATTAAGTTAGTGCACTTAATGCATTAGGAATTTTCGTGAATTTTTAATATATGAAGAGGAAACTGCTACATGTCTAAAACGATAATACATCATCATCTAAAAATAATGTCTTAACATTATCATCTCAGACGTATAATTTTATTTATCGTCGACGAAAATAATTTATTTCCAAATACTTACGGAATTTTTCATTCGATCCGATTATGAATCTATAAAGTACACATCGTTTTGTGTGATCCTAATTTTGAGTTTAGACAAGTAAAACGATTGAAAATCAACCCCCTCCCCGGCCTGTAAGTAAAGCAACTAGTTTTAAATTTATTAATTATCCGTATTAACCAGAACTGCAACTTAAATTTACCATGATCGATTCCGATTAGCCAACGGACTCCAGGGTGGTTTTATGTTTGATCGAAATTTATCACGGTTTCGGAGAAGGTAGTTGACGATTTAATTTTGATGTAACCCAGGCCCCGTCGAGTCCATCCTATCAGGACATGACGTAAACACTCACCATTCTGGGGACCTCTATTTCCCAAGAGACACAAAAAATCGATTTTCTCTGTCATTGCTCGTCATAATATTAGATATCGCCAAGAGTTCAGTGTATTATATCCAAATCGTTACATCTCTCGGCCAAATATCATAGTCTTTTACTAGGATTAAAAGCCCTCGAGATACGTATACAAGAGCGTTCCTCGACACTTTGTGTCTTTAACAGAAATTACGTACGTGACTATAACTATATACAATAAGTGTAATGTTGTAGGTAATAAATCAGAATCTCGTGAGGCACTGTTATTCTAAACACAGCTGAAGAAATGAAATTCGGTTCTAGTCGAACGTGTGATTATTACCAGACTTTTACACAATAAAAAAAATAAAATAAAAATTCGCGAAACGTGAAATAAACTATAATATTATAATTAAAAAATGTTCGGTAAGTTACAAGAGAAGAGTCATTTATCAATATCGTAAATGTATGACCTTCATCATTCCACGTTATTTCTTCAGTCTTTAAAAAATCAATTGCATGTACGAAACATGAATATAAAAAAACCATGTCTATGATATTTATATACATAATGATCCTGTATCTAGTGTAATTTTTTTCATATTTTCAACACATATAAAGTTATCAACCGCTGAGATTAAGTGTCTTGGTTTTCTTTTTTTTTTTAAGATTACATAACATTTATTAAAATACTCTATTGATTAAATAACAATTTTATAATATTATACAATGTCAAATATATATCATCACTAGCTAAACTACCTGGCTTCGTCCAGAAAGTATTCGACTAAGACATAAAAAAAAAATGAGGTTGGAAAATTACTATTGTCTTTAATCTTTTATTATACCTCCTTAATTTAAATTTGGTTTTATGCCAAGTTGACACGGGAGCAAACAACATAAAATTTTCTGTAAATAAAACAAGGATTCATGATGGCAGGACCTGTGATCTTCAGCATCTGTCCCTGTGCCTTATTGATAGGAACAAAACTTTATAGGTAATTGGACTCGTTTGAATTCAAACGGGTTATCATTAGTTACTATCAATATTCTAAACAGTGCCGTAACTGGAAAAAACCTAGGGGGGGCAATATAATATATTTATTATTACCAAAACCCTGACACCCCTCCCCCTCACCATTTAAAACATATTTTTATTGTACGTATTTTATACACTATATCTAATTGTTTGATTTTACATAAGTCTTTTAACTCATTTTATGGTTTAGATAAACATACATTGTAGGTAGCATGTACTAGGTACCAATATTGTTAAATAATATCCATAAGAATTCATTAATAAAAGGTGCTATTTATTCTGTTGGAGCGGGGGCAAAATTATACCTTTATCTCTCAAAAAATGGTCAGTGGGGGCATTTGCCCCCCCTTTTCCCCCACAATTATGCCACTGATTCTAAGAATAAATACAACTTGACCTTGTACTGAGCCGGAATGAATTTTAATTTCACTCATGTTTCCTCTAAATGTAAAATCTCTAAGTGTATGATCAAGAACTTCAGACCCACCTTTATTTGCCATATTCGATTCGTCCCACACTAGCAACATCTATATAGGTATACAATTCACACGATTAATTTAATTAATAACTAATTATATATATTATATATTAACTTTATTGGACTAAATGTGTGTTTAAAACCTGCTTTATGATTTCCTCTTTAATTTAAAAATAAAACTGAATAACGATTGAATAGTTTCGAAGATAATCCGTAACAAAGATTTCCAATTTTGCTTGTTTTCAGTTTTATAAATTTAAAGAGATATATCTTATTATAATGATTATATTATGCATCTTTCACTATCATATTTATACAAGTACAACAACAACTTTATTCAATAAATAAGCGTCTTGCTGTTTTCTTTATATTTTTGTTATAAACAAAAATATTATGACTTTTATTTTGAAAATATAACTAAGTATACATTTTTATTTTTAAACTTAAATTGTTATTAAAAATCAAAACTAGCAGCTAAGTATAACACTTTTGAAATATTTATCGCTATGTTCACCTGACGATGTTGAAATAGTATTACAATAAATGTTAACATATCTTTATACTAATCAACATTTTGCTGAAGTCGCCTTATAACTTTAATCAAATATTATAATAGTATATCAATTTAAAATTGTCTATTTAAAAATGTTTTCTGTTTTTGAGTGTTGAAAATCTATAACAAATACTAGTCATAAATTTGCCATTTTTAACGAACGACCACGACAAATGCGAATTATTTATCTACCCGGTCACGCTTTGTACGCTGATTTTATAAAAAAAGTATTGTTACATATATTTTGCAAAACAAATTCATACCATACGTACGACCAACTGTTGTGTTACACATTAAGTATATTTAGTACGGTTGAGCATGTCCTTTCACAAGAGACACAGTTACAAGAGACTTTCGTTTTGACTTCGTGATATTTGCATTGCGTGTAATGGATTGGAAATGTTGAAAGGAAAAAACCGTCTAGATAAAATCGGATCAAATAAACGCGGAGAAAAAAATATCGCTGACCCGTACAGGTCAAATGCGCATAAAACATATATGCACATAACGTGCATTAGTGTATGCGAACGTGCGTCTACCACCACTACCGTCCAACGCAGAGTCGACTTACTACCGCGTGACCGGTTTCGTATTCCAAGTGCACGTTGGTTCCGTGTTAAATGTCGTCCGCGCGCAGTTCGTAAGTCGGGGGTGGTAGTCTCTGCGCTCACCGTACCACCCGGGCGTGATGATTTGCGTGTCGTGATAGTCGCCGAACGCGCTTGTACTCGCGTGGAACTTTAACGAGCCAGGTAGGACTTTCGTTTCCATCGGCAGCTGTCGGGACGGCGGACACAAACACCGTGAAACGGAACGCGCGCGAACAGCCGATAATTGTAGTGAACATGTTGTCGTCCTTGCTGGCGTTGCGATTCGGTTCGAATCGCTGATTATACTATGGTCACGGCGCATCCGTCGATATCGGTTTACGATTGCACCGTCGAGGTAGCAACGCAACGTTGCGATTCGCCGGACAACAGCGTCGGACACGCGTCGTTTGACGAGCCGATAAATCGCCGACGATCTGATTGTTGCCGCACGCGACATTACGTTTTTAAGGCTCGAGTGGTAGTGTTTAACCCGCTGTTTTAGAACGTATAGTACGCGTTTATTGTGTTCATTCGTCGTCCCGGACTTGTCGGATCGGCCGCGCGGCCGGTGCTGGTGCGGTTAACGGTTTACGCGCTGGTGCATCGAAGCCCAACCAACACCATGGAAAAATGGAAAAAAATCACGATCATGGTCACGGCTTTTACGTTTTTTCTGCAAATACGACCGTTGGATTCATTTCTAACCGCGTACTTGACCGGTCCGAACGTCAACGCAACGTTAAACGAGGTAAAAATAATGAATTCGATTACTATCGTTTTACATATTAAGCATTTACAATAATAATACATACTATATGGCTAAGTAGTAATCGTAAACATCATATTACAACCGGTGGAGACCGTCTACAGGTTGGTGTCTGACACATAAATTTAATAAGAATACTACGTTGTACAATGTTACTGACAACATACTATATTATAAACAGGTTCTAATTATGGTTTATTCGTAAATGGTGGCAGAACGTTCGAAAAGTAAAAAATAAAAACAAATCTAATTTGAAGGGAAGAATAATAAATATTGTTAAGCATACGACTCGTTTCATTCTTTTCGATTATTCGGAAGTTTAATCTACATTATTTTCTATGGTTTAGATGTTCGAAGTAACGACTAAATTTAACACGTTTTTCGTAAAAATTTCCGGATTACGGTGTGGCTATAATCAGAGACATCCTCAAGTAAAGGAGGGGAAATAGAACAGTCGCCCCCTGGCCTTTATCTTAAAATATTTTTTATTTATATCAAGGTAGAACAATACATATAGATGAATGCGAGTGTGAAGTTAACCCTTACTCTCCAAATAAAAAGGTCAAAGAACGCCACTAGCTGTAATATTACACACTATTATTACACATGGAAATCGTTAATGAAATACATTTTGACGAATAGCATCAAATACTTAATATACTTATAAAAAGTACCTAACAATTATTTTCAATATCAAAAAGTGAATATTGAATAAAAAAAAAAAGTATGATAATTGTTTTTTTCTTATATTTAAAAAAAAGTAATATTTCAAAATATATTGATTGCATTAAACTTAATTAAAAGGCCACGAGAAAAAAACAATAATAGGTCTTAATTCTAAAAAATTTAGTATTGCAGTTTAAAATTAAGAAATTAAATGCCATATAATTAAAAAAATTAAAACATGGTGCATAATCGGTTGGCATTTGAGTATTGCGGTTATAGAACTAATTGATGATAAAATGAATAAAAAAAATTAAGTTTACTTTTTAAAACATATGACAAGATAAAATAATAATTAGATTTTATTTATTTTTTGATTCTTATCGTTTTTCCCCGTAGCTCTTTAATTCTATAATGTGTTGTATTATGTACAATATATATATATTGAATTATTTATGTTAAAATATCTCCAATAGAACGTTTTTAAAAAGAAAACGTCAATTTTAAAAGTTTCAAAGAAAAAAAAAATGATTATTTTTATTGAAAAAGATATATGCTGCAATTCAAACCATGTAAAAAATTTGTAAAAATTATTTTACAAAAAAAATAATATGACATTCGAATTGCAGTATTATTTAATTTTTTTATACGCGTTTTAAAATTCGCAGCTGATTATTTTGACGAACTATAATGATTCCTTTTATTTTTTAAATATCAAAATTGACATTCACTAGTAATAGGTTTTTGTAAACGGTAATTCATCGTTGCTATGCAATTCGCCTAAGTGTACAAACGAGTACAATTATACAACAATAATAGTTTTTTTTTCAATTATCTAAAATTTATAAAGTATACGTGTCACTATGGTTTACAATCTGAGGAAGTTCGACCATTTTCATTTTTACGATAACTTAATTAATATATTAGAGTTCAAGAGTAAAAGGTTATCTAATATATTTATTTTTTTTATATATCTCCTTATCTAGATAAGCATAACCATGGCAGTCTATAGCTGATTAATGTGAATAATCTTATATAATAGATTATAATTTACTACAATGGTATGAAACCAAAGTCCAAACGGGCTAGTCATTTAGACAATAATTGTGTCGAGTTACAATAAAAAACCTATAACCTCTCTTAAGACTTAAATACAATTTAATAATACTAATTACATATTGTAATTGATTTAAAAAACTAACTTTAGACATCGCTCTTCAACATTGTAAAAACATAACTTGAGGAAAATAAGAAACTATTATAAGAATAAGCTGCTCAATGAGACAAAAACCTGTCTGTCCATACGAAAATCTGTCGTCTTACTCTCAGAATCAGTTTTACTAAAACCAATGATAGATTAATGAATTCAAATATAAACCAGAAAAACTCATCTGTATTAGTCACCAGTATCTGGATTCCTCCCAAATCTTGTATCTCAACAGTTTTGATTTAAATTCAGTAAAATTTGAGATATTAGTAAATAATAAAAATTTACCATAGATACTAGTTATTATTATTAAAATACTATGGATGCGTTCAAAAATGTGTTATATATTGCATAAATATTACTAACATTATAATTTATGAGTGATCATCGAAATAAACACCCAGAAACATACGATCTCACACGTCGTTGTATTATTCAATAGTAATTATTCTGAATAATTGTTTTTTTGTGTGGGTGTTCAATATTTCAATGATACCAAAAATTACAGCGTATTGGAAAATCAAAAATAGTTTCCGGAATTAAAGTGGGGCAACTCTTTAAAAAAATCAAATATTTTTTAAGTAAAAATAATTATTTATAATATATAATCAATACATTTTTAACTCATATATGATACATCGTAGCAATTAAAATTATTTATAAGCAATTAAATATTTTCGTTTACAAACATGGCCCATTATAGGTGTGACCAAATTTCGTTATCAGATCTGGCAATCACCCGTAGCTACGTGTATATTAGTGATTATTTCCTGAACCATTATCAGTTATCTATCTACCATTGTCAGCGGCAACCTGCGCCCTTTAAATATATTTCATGGTGTTTAAAATTTTAATTTTATATATTAAATTGTATTAAATAAAATCAGATTGTGACTGCTATATAACAATATAAGATTAATGAACGTAATCTATTCGTATATAATGTATATGTTATGCCGAATTTAAGAAATCAGCAATGTTTTCGCCGAATACGTGAAATCGGCAAGACCCTTCTTAAAAAATTATAAAGCATAATTTAATTTAAATAAATATATAAAACGCTAGAAATATAATAAAATCAAATTATAATGATAAATATTATACGTAAGTACTCGTATTTAAATAAATGTGTAAATTCACCGGAAATATAATAAAATAATAAATATATTTTAATGTGTAAAAAAAGTAAAAAAAAAAAAATTAAATTATACTTAAATATTTTAGCAAGTATGGTCTGGGTGACACGTCGAATTATACGTAATATTATTTTTTTTACGTGTGCACTTTTTAGATGTATAATTCGTACAATTACAACGTCAATATAAAGCCAATCAATAGCTTTGTTCGGTCCCAACTGACCCCTATCTAACAAGATCCCGTAATAAATATTAATTTTGTTGAACGTCTGGAGTCGTTAGGGAAAAGTACTTTGTAGCTACTAAACTGTTCCGTTCCAGCCATGTGCTTAAAATCCCTTCTTTATTCCCAATACGAAATTTACCATCTTTTTCTTCTATGATAACTGTAATAAGTTTGGCTGCATCACTTCGCTCTCGATCCACATTCGAAATTGACACCAACATATCGTCACCTACTTTTAAATGAGGGAGGAAATTTTTTTAATTACTGCCATAAGCCACTATTTTTAATTATATAATAATAATGTGTTACCGAATTCGTGCAAACGGCAAAAAAAAGGCTGCCAAATTGCCGATTACACGTATTCGGTGACCACATTGCTGATTTCATGAAATCGGCAATTTCATAAATTCGGCGTAACATATATATTTGTCATAACTTTCTGAATTAAATTTTAAACGGATTAAAAGTTTTGCTAAAAAAATGATTACTGCTTTCGATAGCACTTATATTCGTGAGCAGACATTTTTAAAACTAAAATTCCAAAAAAATTCTATACGCTAAAAGTTGTATATTCACATAAAACAGTGGTTATCAACGTGGCGTTATCGCTCCCCCCCCCCTTTGGTTGGTGGTGGAGAGATTCTGGAGGATTCACCGTGAACCTTTTTTTTTTTGCGGTAGGAAGGTTGTGAGCAAGTCTTGGGCAATAGGGTTGCGTTGAACATAATATATATATATATATATATATATATATATATATATAATATTTACATTAAAATGTATGAAAAATAAAAAGTATTGACATAATGATGAGCTTTGCACCATTGATCTATTATTGTTTTCAAATAATATAGTTTTAACACTTTATCTATAAAATAAATGCGTAGTAATAAAATATCAATACCTATCGACAAGGTTGACATGCGCTTAATGACCTGTAATTGTTTCAAACTTATTATCATTATTATATTCTTGTTATTTATTTTACAATTATTATGTTATCACTATACTGAATCACTGACCTGTTCCATTGAACCTAAAGTAAAAAAAAATAATTATGAAGCACCAAGTAAGCTTGGTTAAGACCATCCCACTGATCATTATAATTTATTAACAATTTATTATCATATTTATTATACTTATTATTATTTAATAACTTTCAAATATTTAGTTAAATTTTCTGTTTAATTTAAAACTTACAATTTTGAAGAATACCATTTTTGTTTTGTTTTGTTTTTTTTATTTAAAAATTATTTTTCTTTTAAAGATAAGCAGCTTGGTAGGTTGAAAAAAACTGGTCTACCGCATCGAAAATCATATCTTAAATCCAATATAACGACATATAAATCGTACTTGAGAGACTAATTAAAAAAAAAAACTACGTTCATATATTGCACCGAATATATCGTTACGAAATTCACTGATCTTTTTATTCGATTACATAATTTTTTTTTACTCGTAATTTTGAGTATGAATATGGAACGTCTAACAATGCACTAGCCAATGTACGTGATAAAAAAGAAAAATTTACATTTAACGATCGAGCTAATTAAGTGATTGATAATATATTATAACATATCTGTATGTGATCAATATGTGAGAAATACAATTCAAAACACATATTGATAAATTTTAACGTCTAATGTGATCAATCATATTGCTTTATCGTCCTGAAAAAATATAAAATTGTATACAATTTATTCATATAATAAAAGTAACAAAACAAATAGAATAAATAAAATGCGATAAT